ACCGGAACGTCGTATAAAAGCCAAACGGCTGTAGTAAAACGCAATTCAGCTGTCCTCATCTGGTGAAATCTACCTACGAATCTCTTATTCATGCACTTTCATACGAAATGTAAGTATCCCCAACAATACTTTCGACAAGACAACATTTTATTCGTATTTAATGTCAAGTATTTTTCAGAAACTATCACAACATATTTAATAGGAACTCGAGTCTGACAAGGTCATTTATGATAATGCAAGGACAGATGGCTGAAATTTCAACAGTAAAACGAATATAATTGATCTGACCAGAATAATACGGCGGATTTCTGTTGTTATGTAGCCGTTTGATATTACACTTATTTTAAAGCTAACGCAATCACGATCAGATCGGATCCGGCAAAACTTTCACCAGGCACTTTTATACGAAATAGAAGTCTGCAGTTTACTTTTGTTTCATGAGAATCACTGAAGCTTAACTACACTTATTATATGAGATGTATTCACTGGTAGACTCGAAACTCTACTCTAATACGAAAATACACTTATAATGTACTTAGATAATCATGCAAGGATCAATTGATGATTTCACAGCCCATACACTAAATATATAAAAGTGAATACATCCGTAAAGAAGTGGTGTATGCACGAGACTTCTAAACAGGTTCAGTATATGTAAACATAAAGGGATAAATTTTTCACCTCTGCCTTTTGTTCTGACGATCGATTCATCATGGAGTGAGATATAGAGCTGACACTTCCCGAAGAAACAGGGTCGGACAACTTTGGATGGGCAAAGTCTCGTCGCAAAAGGGGATTAGCCTGGGGTTTGCTCTTCTCTTGCATAGCCTCATATCCGGTTGTCTGAGTGTCAACTTTATCCTCCCTCTCGTTGTGCCGCATCACCAGGCTACTACTTGAGGAGTCCCGATGCAAATATTTTGACAAGAGTTCTGCATGCGACCAAGGATCAGTGTCGCTGGCTAGTCGGCTACCCTCTCCAAGAGGAGTTAATGCTTGCGTTTCAGCTGAAATGCACGAGCCTGCTTGGTCAGCTACTCTCATTTGAAGCTTGTTTGATTGTGCAGGCGAAGATACCGATGCCAGCCAGCCCGAGTCCTTGCCGGTGGGCGTCAAAGATTTGCCTAAAATTTCGAAGAAAAAAACGCAATGAATTCCTGATGGATCCCAACCCTAAACGTTATTGTAATTCAGACTGCCCTTAAGCCACTGAGAATGTATCAAAAGTATATTATAGGCAAATGTCATTTTAAATTATCGGTTGAAATCTATTTTTCTTGACAAAAATGTAAATAAAAGCGTGTAACGTAGATATGAAGACAAGGATGGTGTGGCATTCTGTTTGGTCGCTGTATCCTTTAGCCGTACAATGTTGGTTCGACCTTGTTTTCGCAACTTGGACGTAGCGTCAGGGAGACCTTGTGGAACGTGCCTAGTCGTGCGTTCACTGCAATAGGAGATCTCGAATACTGTGGTAGAGGACATAGGACTAGGTACGTTTCACAAAGTCTCCCTGACGCTGCGACCAAGTTGCGAAAGCAAAGATGAACCAACAGTAAAAGGCGTGTATGTCAAAAAAGAAAGAATTTAGCTAAAATTCTAGCCACTCAAATATGCTAGGAAAAAGAAATAAGATATAGAGATAAAAAATTCCCATTTCGTATTAATCTCAGAAACAATAATAAAATAATGGTGAGCCAATTCTTATTCAGTAATTATATGATTAACAGGCGTAGTCAAAATAACGCCTCTTACCACTATGTAGTCGAATGCTTAAAAACTTATTTAACCATTTCTATTCTAATATATGCATGAAAGTGAAGAGTATAGCATTACTTTTTGATCGGGCTTCTATCACTTCACGGGCCCCCCCACGCGTAGTATTTGCAAAAGCAGAAAGCTTTCTTGTGATTTCACCCACGTCGGTCCCCTCAGGACTGCTATGTTCCGGTTCATGGGAGTCAGCTATAAATGCAGGATACTCGATCAAAGTAGACTGTTTTGGGCTTGGCCTTTTTTCCATATTAGTAGATTGGCTCATGACCATGGATGCGGATAAAATATTGGCTAATTTTGCGGCAGCTTCATCAGAGAAATCTGCAAACGAGAAATAAAAGAGCAAAATGGTTATCTTGAAGAAGGTAAAAATAAAAGTTCCCACACGAAATACAACAAGGAAGACAACGTAATTCAATAGCGATATGAATCACAGAGCTTAACTAAGTAAAATAGGGGATATATTAACAGACGTCACCTGTGAATAATCTTGCCAAGATGAATTAAAGCACTTTTGTAACTCAATTCAAATACAAAACTTATACCCTTTACCAATGAGATTAAGTTGAAAAGACCGACCGAAAGTAAGGCAACGACATTAAAAAAACTCAATCGCGCAAGAAGAATTGAAAGTTGTAAGTAAACAAATTTAGGTTCATTGTAACTAAGGCAGGTAGCATCAAATTAATAAGTCAAAGCAGGCAAATACATTAACATCATATGGATAAACTCGGCAGTCATAAATGACATTAATTAATAATT